TAGATTGTACTTGTTTAACTGCCATTCCCTTTGTGAGAATCTCACCATCTCTCATATCTCCCAACACCCCCCCCCCCATTCATTATGTTTTCCTGTGCCAAATATCACTTCAAGTTTTTCCCTATGTGACAGGGCCCCGCAACCCCGCACTAAAACCCCCGCGGCAAAAGCCCTATTTGGGTGGCGGGGGAGTGCGCACCGGCATTGTGCCGGCTGCACCCGCGCCGCGGACCAGCTGACCGCCTCGGCGGCGGTGGCGGCACAGATGCAGCGGCAGGGGTGGAGCCAGCTGGTGACGTCAGAAGCACGTCACCCTCTGGCGCCGGGCGCAGCAGGAGGTTTAAGTGCCTCCTCAGGCGTGAGGGAGGGGGCCTTCGCCCAAGGAGGCGGGGCAAGGGCAAACCCCCCTCTCTTGGCTGCGGAAAGCAGGACTTCTGAGAGACGGGCAGCTGACCCACGGAGGGACGAGCGGGCCAGCAGCAGTAAAGGGGGGGGGGGCAGTACGGAGAGGAAGTAGCCCAGGGGAGGGCCATACCGGAGCCCCCTCACGTGGACAGGTTTCGGGAGGACGCCCCTGCCATACTAGCCCCGGACCGGAGCTGGTCCGTGTCCTTCGGGGCCCTGGGCTGGGGCCCGGGAGTGAGGGCGGGCCCGGGCTCCCCTCTCTCCCCCCTACCCGGCACCCCTCCCCCGGCCTCCATGGCATAACTGAGAAGGAACGAATGCTCCCCCCGGAAGGGGTAAAGCCCAGGCTGTGTGGGCACTGTCGGAGGACAGTGGCCTGAATTGGGTAGCATCGCTGTCAGCAGAGCCAATTCCCCACAGTTGACGACGGGCAACGCTTTGGGGGCGAACGGAAACCCTACACCCTATTTCAAAGACTCCTTCCATATTCTTTACTCTCTGTTCAAGGATAACTCAAGTTGCAACCTTATTTGGTGTAGGTGAAAACAACCTTTACCCAATTTCCAGCCTCATTTAAAATGAGTTCAATACATTTTGAACAGAGGAGGGTAATATTTGTTTTCATTACAGAAGGCATTCCAATGATCCATCACTACAAGCCCCTCTTCTTTATAACATCATTTTGTCTCTACTTTTGGTCATCTATTTTCACACACTCATGGTACCGGAAGGATCTAGGAAACTTCATAAGCATTGGAGCCAGCCTTCCCAGCTTCCTGAATTCATCATTGATTTAAGTGAATTTCCCTGTTCTCATTCTTGCAATGGCAACAATTAGTGGAAATTCCTCACTGCTCATTTAAGATATACTCTCTTGTCACATCTTCTCTTGTGGCATCTAGGGATGAAGTATACAATCTTGGGTCCTATTTGTCCTGGTTCTTCATTATGGAATCACTAGACAGGAATATTGCTGCTTGTTTCTTTATAGAAGCTTCTTTTTATTACTTGGTTCTTGGTCATTAATAAGGTTACTGTTCATTTTTGCCTGGTTCTCAGTTTATTTATTCCTAAAAGGAAGAATATCTGTTGCTGCTGCCAAGGTTGCAATGCTTCCTAGATGTTTTCCCTCTTCTCTTTTTGTTATGCTCCCTAGTTGGTAAATTTTGTTAACTTCATTCTGTTACCACTTACTATCCCTATGCATGGACTCAGCTTGCAGTCTCTTTGATAGCTCCTTGGTTCAGGAGGCCATTTGGCTTCTCTAGTTTCTCAATGTGAAGTCAATCGTCCATTCAGTCCCTCCATCTTCTCTTCCTTGAAGAAAGCCAGATTGTGCTTCACCTGCACATAGTCATCCTGCTCTTTGTTCAGGAAGAGAAACAGCACACATGCTGGGCAGATATTTTCTACCTAATTCATTTTTCATCAGAAAAATGGGTTTTTGACTGAATGACTTTTTTTGCATGAAAATCATATGCTTTTCACATAGAATTTTGACTTTTCATTGCAAAGCCACACAGACCTGAACATCAAAAAGTGTGTTAATAATGGCAACTGCAGTGTTTCATGGAAGCTGTAGTTTGGTTGTCTCAATTCTCCATTCTCTTCTGTGGGCCAGATTCTCCAGCTGAACTGTATCTCACATGTTGCATCACAATGCATCAGCAAAAGGTGCATCATAGATGATTCAGTCTGGCCATAGATCCTGGCACATAGAGGCAAATTTGGGCACCATACTACACCTTACATTAGGTACCATAGTAGCATTTATAACTCAGTCTTTTTGGCTGAAATTTTTCTGATTTTTTTTAGTTTTTGCCAAAAGTCTACATTGTTCTCCCGTCATCTGTACATACACCCTCCACATCGCACTGCACTGGAGCCTTTAGTGACCATTTTGTATCCAACTGATGTTTTTACTTCTGAGAATCTCTTCTCCTCTGATGGAACTCGCATACATCCAGGCATGTCTGCATCTCTCATCTCCTTCTGACCTCCAAAATGTGTTTCTTCTCTGCCAATGTTTGCTCCTCATATCATTTTCTTAGTCATAGGCCTTTATGGCTATCTCAGCTCTCCCCTCACTGCTGTATCAAGAGTGGATAACAACTTCAGCTGTTCACTTAGCCCCCTTGCAGACCTTTCACACCCAGAACAGTCTTTAAAGCACATATCCCACCAAGTCACTCACTGCTCTTTTAAGTATAGTAGCTGTTGTTATTTCTGCAAACCCCATGAAAGACTACTGTTATCTTACCTCTTCCTCTTTGTTGTTTTTAAAGTGAATCACAGGAGTATTTCTTGATTTTTTTCCATTTGGATTTTTAACCTGGATGGTTTTCTGTATATTCTAGTCATCATTCCTCTAGTGTATATGGCTGTGGTATCCCGCACTCCATGTAAGGGTATTACCACTGATGATAGTTATTCAGCTCTGAGATAATGCTTCAGTAGATAACTGTTTGCTGACTTCAAGATGAGTTCAGATAAGATAGTGTTCAGCTGATGAAATGTTTCTATCCCATATTTCACTGGTGTAATGTATTGTCAATCAACATTCCGCTATGGGTGTATTTCTTTAAGATGCTTACAGATGACTCCATTTCAGCTGCATACTACTAAAGTTCCATTCCTGAATTTGCCTCTGGATTCTTGTGCATGTTACTCCAAAGTCAGCACACTTTATAAGTACCAAATGGTTACAAGATGTGACTAAGCAACCAGTGACAAAACTAAGGACTTTGTCACTTCAACAGATGTATAAATAGTCAACACAATGTTTATAGTGGAACAGGAGTTAATTAGAAGATGTAAAATTCAGTAACTTCTTAACAAAGTGACATAAAACATAGAGTTCAAAAATGTGCTGAAGTGCTTCTCATGTAAAAGTCACTGCTTCTGTTTTTGTTATATGTAGCCATTTTAGAAAACTCTATGTTTCTAAGTCCTCTATTTCCTAGTCTGTGTCAAAATACGTTAGTAGGGTTCTGTTTTGAGACAGTCACTTGTGTATTTCTATCAAATGCTCATAGGAATGAAAGCTACGCTATTATTTAATTTCCTCCCTTAGAAAGAGTAACAATTAATGGCTAACATGTGGCTCATGGAACAATATATCCTACATATTAAATATCAAGGAGCAGTTTGTTCTTGTTCATAATGCAGTATTTAGAGCGAGACAGATGCTTTATTTTGCATGAATTTTTCACTGTACTGAACAATACTATTCAAGTGGTAGAGAACCCCTGCATTAGAGAGGCTCCTACATATTCTGTGCTAACAAAGGAGCCATTTATATGAGCTTTATTTTGAGCTTTTTATTCCTTTTCTACTTTTATAGAGGTGGGCGTAAATAATGTTGCTTATTTGTGCTATGCAATTGGGTGGAAGTGGTTGGGATTTTTTTTTTTTACAGTATCTCTAAGAATTCTTTTTCTCAGCCATATTGAACAAGAATTTCAGGAGTAGCTCTATTCATCAATTTGTGGGTGTCCATTTGAGACACATTAAAGGGACCTGATTTTCAGAGTGTAGCTGGATGATGTTCAGCACTTTCTGAAAATTAAGGCTTTCAGATATTTCTAATGGGGCCCAGCAATGGACGACACTCACCTCTTGCAAGGGTCCCTCTCTAGCCGAGTGAGCGGGCCTGCACTCTCTCTCTCAGAAGCCTATTCAGGAACTCAGCCCTCCAGCCGAGACACACACTGTGTGTGAATCCATCACAAAGCCCTTCCAGGATGCATACCTAATCCTAATGCTCATCTTAGTGCCCTCTGAAGTGTCCCTACAAGTCCATTCCCCACTCTGGCAGAGAGTGGTGCCTCCAGGGCTTTCCTCCTGGAGACTGCATCTTTGCCCTCACCTTAGGGCTTTATCTCAGAGTCCCATTATTGTTCATCAGTCTCCAATGAGCTCCCCACATGGAGCTACCTGTGGAACTGCTGCTTCCTCAGCTAGCCAGTCAGGTGGTCTTCTTTCCTTGAGGTCTCCAGAGACACAGACTGCTGCTCTATTCCCCAGTTCCTTTTAAAGGGGCTTTCTGGCCCCTGTCTGGCCACTTCCTTTATAGCCATTCTATCTTGCTTGGAGGACTTCTCTATAGTCTCTTTGGGGTGGCGTATGGCAAGGCCACAAGCCTCCAGCAGGAGGCATCAGATCCTGATCCACAACATCACAGACTCCCATTAACTGAGAAGCCCCAAATCACTGGTCACTTCTGAAAATTTTGGCCATTTCCTTCCATTACTAATTAATCTCAATACTTGAATTACGTTTTCCCAAAATCTTTTAAAGTTGTTGCTGTACATAAAAGTTATACCCAGTAACAAATGGTTGCCATGCGTGACACTCAGTACAAACTGAAACACAGGATACGCAGCAATCAGCAATCTCTGAAAAAGTTCAAAACTAATGTCTTTTTTGTTTAAAAAAATGTTTTCCTTTAGTGCTAGCCAACCAAGGATCTGTTCCAATGACCCATACTCTACAACTGTCCCTTATAACTAACACCCACTGATATTCATTTAATCACATGCTAGCAGGTATTTTTACAATATTGAATGGAAATATCATACCTCTTTCTCAAACAGGGCCTCATGAGTATGAAGAAAACCCCATGAAGAATGGAAACCTTCCCTCCCCTGAGTAACGAGAAGGGTATACAATAAGTCACACTGGACTTCTCAAAAGCCTAAGTGGGGTAAAGGTAAGAAGCCCTAGAAAACTCAGCAATGAGCCACATGGACTTATAAGAACAATTTTTTTTTCATAAGAGTGCTTTTTTGAAAGAATTACAAAATTAGTGGATTAAGAACAAGAGTTTATACATTTGGATCTTAATGAAGCATCAAGTGCTGTGCCTCACAAAATCTTAAGTGAAAAGAGGATTCAAATAGGCTTACATAAAAACAAGGTCACATGAATTTCCATAAAAACAAGATTACATAGATTAAAAATGTGCTAAAAGACTGCAAAGAAAGGCTAATAATAAATGACAGTGTTTTGAGCTAAGGAGAGTGCCTCCTGTGTTACAGCATAGATTGGGTTTATTTAACGTTTCATTAATAATCTGCAAGAGGAGTAAGCATCATGCTAATTAAAGTCACTGGTGGTAATGAATTGGAAGAAATTATGAACACCCATGAGAGTACAGAAACAGAGACCTATAGCCAGAGCCCTTCTACAATTCATAGACTCATAGACTTAAAGGTCAGAAGGGACCATTATGATCATCTAGTCTGACCCCCTGCACAGTGCAGGCCACAGAATCTCACCCACCCCTCTTAGAATAATCCTCTCACCTATGTCTCAGATATTGAAGCCTTCCAATACTTTGAAGGCCCCAACATGCAGAGAGTCCTTCAGCTGTGATCTGTGCCCAATGCTACAGAGGAAGGCGAAAAACCTCCAGGGCCTCTGCCAATCTACCCTGGAGGAAAATTCCTTCCTGACCCCAAATATGGCGATCAGCTAAACCCTGAGCATGTGGGCAAGACTCACCAGCCAGACACCCAGAAAGTTCCCTATAATGAATGGTCAATTAGTTACCAAGATCATGTTATTTCATCCAACCATCCCCTTATCATAGAATCATAGAACTGGAAGAGACCTCAGAAGGTCGTCAAGTCCAGCCCTCCGCTCTAGGCAGGACCAATCCCATCTAAATCACCCCGGCCAGGGCTTTGTCAAGCCGAGACTTAAACACCTCTAGGGATGGAGACTCCACTACTTCCCTAGGTAACCCATTCCAATGCTTCACTACCCTCCTAGTAAAATAGTTTTTCCTAATATCCAATCTGGCCCTCTCCCACCACAACTTGAGACCATTGCTCCTTGTTCTGCCATCTGTCACTACTG